ACTTTGTTGTAATTATCTGAGAGATTATTTCTGAACAGCGTACGATTACCGTAAATTATTTCATCACTACGTGTAAAAATGTTCTTTACACGTGCGCAAGCTTCAATCTGGTTTTCTCGGTCGATCGATACTTACGAAGGAGTGGTTTAAACTTGGACAAATTTAAATATTTAATGTCACGTGAGATCGGTGATACGCTGCGCAATTGCATTGTTAATCTATATTAATTAAATGTTGTCGTGAGATTGTAGGCATCTTCTTAACGCTTTTAACATGCAACATAAAGTATAGATATAATGAGACGGTTCTAAGCGTCGATTTTTACGGATGCTGCATCCAGTCTGCCTCGTTCCAGCTGTACAGTTCTTTAATTACAGAAAGTTTGGAAGTTTAGACATGGGATCTATGTCCACGCTCGAACCATTTTAACTTTTCTCTGGTAGAACGGATCTCTTATTCTTTTCACGTCGCGGTATATGACTTTTTTCTAATTCTTTGACAGGATTAAAACATCCTCATTTTATTGAGTTTCCGTTTTATGTACACAGGGTGTCCTTCAAAATTCAAACTTAAAATACTGCAGCAAGAAAATAAAAATAAAAAAGTTATTTATAAATTTTCATTTTGAACAGTAATTTTTGAGATAATAAGATTTTAAATGTGGCCATTTAAAAGCCAGACTGTACGTTTATAAGCCATTTAGTCCATATTTATCTATTAATTGCACGTGCGGTAGATTAAGTGAGTAACAGTGAGCGTATATTTCAACGCTCTCACCAATACTCGTAGATGATTATCTAAACATAGTCTATAATTGATTATGTTTAAATCTTTATTATTTCAAACATTATTGTTAAAAATGAAAAATTAACAAATAATATTTTTGCTTAATTTTTCGAGAACTTTTTTGCTATAATTTGAGTCACGAATTTTCGCACACTTTTGTATATATATATATATATATATATATACATATATATATATATATTGTATATATATATTTTTATATTTATATATATATATAGAGAAAAA